TGACATTAAATACAATTCACACTGGGCCCTTGTTCCTATTGCTATAGTTATTACTGAATAAAATCTGTGTGTCCTCCTTTGACTGGTGTCTGTCTTTGTCTGTCTTTGATAGTCTTCAGTTTTGGGTTTTTTGTTTGTTTGTTGTGTGTGTGTATGTGTGTGTGTGTGCGCATGTGTGTGTGTGTGCACACGCTGCACTCTGATTGGGGAGAGGGGATGTTGACAATTTCTGATGGTTTTATGGATTCCACACTGGGGCAGCTTTCACTCTGACATCAAACGACATAGCACTCCAGTCTTTCTCCTTTTCTACCCCATGTCAAGCCCCTCTTCTCTGTGCTGTGACTTTGTCGGGAACTTGGTTCCCAGCATGGCTGGTAAACAGGCTATCTTTGAGATATTTTTAGGTCTTCCCTTGCTGCCACACCTTCAGATTCCATCTCTTCTCTGACATGTCTCCTTGATGCAAGGACCTTGGGTCAGGACTCACCATGTCTTGACTAAATAAATCTAATCATCTTTTTTTTTGTTTGTTTGTTTCAAATATTTATTTATTTATGGATACAGAACTGGGGTACAGGCCAGAGGTGCAGGGATGGTGAGAGGATTCACCACACACAGAGCCGGGAGCAGAACAGGCAGATCGATGAAGTACACTGCTGAGGGGAGCAGCGGGTCAGGAGAGGTCTGCCCGCCATGTGGTCACCTCCGGGGCAGGTGTGGATCGAACTCATGTGGAAGTGGCTTTAGCTTCTTAGTGCGGCGCTTAAACCCGCTGAGCCACCAGGGAGGGCCTAATTATCCTTTTAACATCCTCCTTACCTCCAAATGCCACAGAACTTCAAAATACTCATTCTAAAACACCAAGCTGATTTTCTTACTTTTCTTCATTCTTCACTGCCTATTAAACAAAGCTGAAATTCCTTAACAGGCATTTACACTTCCCATGGCCTTGCCTTGACTTAAATGTCTCTATCCCTGTTTCCCATGGAACCTGTGACACCATTCTATAAATATGTATGTAGGGCCTCTCTATGGTGCAGGGTTAAAGGTTCAGTGTTATGAAGCTATCCCAGCCACTGCAGCACAAGTTGGATCCCTAATCAGGGAGGTGACCCATATGGCACAGCACATCTCTCCTGACCTGCCCGCTGCTCCTCTCAGCAATCTGCCCATTTCAGGCAATCTGCCTGTTCTGCTTCCCACTCTATCTCGGATGAATCCTCTTACCCCCTGCACCTCTGGTTTGTACCCGAGTTCTGTGTGTATAAATATATAAAATAAATAAATAAATTATGTGTGTACCATCACATTTCTAGGGGTATCTCACATTCTTTTGTCATTCTGGGATAAACAACTCTCTCTCCCCATTTCTGTCAATGATCAAATTTTACTGTTTTTCAAGACCTTGTTCAAATACCATGAAATCATTGCCAACAGTATAAGTTGGAATTATTTCCCTCCTTTGTATTTTCACTTCATGTCATTTTTAGATGATAGGTTCATAATTGAGGTATAATTTATTTACACTCATATCCACCACTTTTAGGCATAGAGTTCTATGAGTTTTGACAAGCAAAGTTGAATAACAAACCCACCACTGTATGTAAGACATAGGATTGCCCACAGACCCCAAATTATTAAGGGGTTCATGCTCTAAAAGGGATCTGTGTATCCATATACACAAAGGCAAAGGAAGCACAATCTTAGTGTGAAAGATTTTTAATAGAATATATATAGAGAGAAAGAGAAGAAAAGCTATTCCTAATAAAACTACAAAATTGGGCGGCAGCCCTTCTGCCCCCTGGGCCTAGGCAGGCCTCTCTCTTAGCAAACCTGTCCCTTTTGGGGGCAGGCAGCTCCTTCTGATCACTTGTGCCTGTGCAAGTGTCCTTTGCTCTTCTCCCCCTTTATATAATAAAACTTCCCTTTTAGGATATAAAAGAAAAACAAAGACAAAACCTTCCAAAATCTAGTGGGCAAAAACTCAGCAAAAGAGGTTTGGCCCAAGGCAGGGCCACTGAGGCCTGAAAGCTTGCCACAAGTCTAAGGTATTTCTGGCAAAGAACCCAAGAAAGGGGTTAGGCAGGTCCCAGAGAGCTAGAATTGAAGGAGAGAGTAAATGCAAAATACATCACTTTAGGGAAAGTGATGGTTGCACTGTTGTCCTCAGTGGCTATCACCTGCGACCTTGAATGCAGGAGGCACTTGGGAGTGTGGGCTCAGGATGCACACACCTGATGGTGGACACCTGGAGTGTGAGGTGGACTGGCATAAGTGGGTACACCTGAGCTGAGAGGCTGACTGTATAGGGATGGGGTCACTTAGAGGATGGTGTGCAGCAGCCCAGAGTCAAGCTCTTGCTGAGGCCCCCTGCCTGTCCCCCTGTGCATGCTGGCACAACAATCATAATCACAACTAGGTCAAGATAATGACGGCCATTGTCTTGCCAAGACCAAGAGCAGCCTCCCCTCGTGTCTCCTCCCACATGTCTATTTTCTAAGTCTCTCCTTCAAATATCACCATCCATGTCCTCCAAGTATCTCTGTGCCTCTCCTTCCACACGTCCCCTCCCATGTACCACAATGCAAGTGAAAGCCAGAAAAGCAAGAGCAGCAGGCCAGCCTGCTTCTGTGTTATATAGGTCTACCTGGCTGCTCTGCTCCACCCCAAGTTCACAGTAGCTCCCCAACTCAGGAAGTCGGGTCCATGCCATCCTGGGGTTATAATCCACAGCAGCTGCATGTAAGTGAGGGCAAGGAAAGTGGTACCTCCCCTTCACAGCTGTTTACTGTAACATCACCACAATGTAGACAGTGTATGTTTCCATCAAGGCAAAAAGTTCCCTTATGTCTCTTTGTACACAGTTCTCTCCTTCCATTCCTAGTTCCTGGCAATCACTGATCTGACTTCTGTCCCTACCCCTATACACCTTATGTCATCTTAATTTACTTTTGCATTTCCCCCTATAAAACTTTCTCCACTGGGTTGTAACCCTGTAAGTTCACCGTCGTGTTCTTCATGATTCCAAACACATTTATCATGAGCCAGGTCATGAATATTTGATGAAAGAAAAAGGGAAGAAAGGAAAAGGAAGGAAGGAAGGAAGAAAAAAAAGAATGAGACAACAAATGGAATCAACACTAGGAAAAGTTATGATTCAACAAAGAGCAATAAACAAGGATCATAATAATTTAAAGAATTCTTAATTATTAAACAGAATAATAGCAGCTATTCTAAACACCTAAACATAAAATATATTAAAGTTTCAATCAGGAAAATAGATATTTTAAGTTTGTGAAGGATGTTTTAATGAAATGACTGTAATTGGTAGCAGGGGATAGGAAACAATCACCCACCACTCCCAATTTAAGCTGCTTCTGATGTTATTATTATTACCACTACCACACCCTAACTAAGAAAAGTGGCTTCCTGTTCTTAGCAGACAATAGGTATGCTGAAAACTGTCAGGGAAATTTGGAAGGGAGAAAGGTAATTACCAAGTGCCCTCAAAGTCATAATCTACTTTATGATGTTTTACTTAATTCTCACAACTACTCTTTTAGATTAGTTAGGAGGTAACTCTTCGTTGGGAAAGGAAACAAGCAATTAAAGAAAGTTCAAAGGAAGAGGCAGGTTAAAGGTTGCATTTTTGGTTCAGGATGAGTTCTTTCTTTTGTGAGATCACAACAATTAGATAGGGACAATAGTCTGGGTGGAATAAACATTTTTGCACTCTTGTCCATCATTGATCCATTCTGGGTCACCATGTTCCTTTCAGAAGCCTATATAATGTGCAGGTGCTTTAATGTACTGTTTGATGAGTTTGTCAATGAAGGTATATGCTGGAATTTAGGGGTTAAGTCATGTAGCTTGTAAATGGCCTTTCCATATATAGAATCATAGGACTTTAAAGTAATTTTGCCATGAGTTTCCAGAGAATTTTCTTGATTCTTAGAACCAACTGGAAGATAAACTTTGGACAATGTATTATACTATGCCCTTAGTAATAAAATAACCCAAGATAATATGTTAAAGTTTAGTGGAGATTTAAATTCCTGAGCTGATTAAAGCTGTTGAAAAATATGTGTTAATATTCTTCCAGACTTACTCATTACAGTGGTCTGCACGTTTCTGTCACTCACTACTTTCCAATTCTACAGAATGGTTCAGAATTAAATAACTAAAAACAAGTACAATTCCATTCTAAGGCTGGGTTCCCGGCAGGAAGACCCGGAATTTTTGGCTAACCTGGGCAATGTCTGGTCCCGTTTCTGCGGAGCCACAGAGAGTTGTGAGGTCATGATGGAGCTGTTTCAGAAAGGTAAATCTTGTGTGTGCATATGGCCTGGGGCAGAGAAAAAAAAATAGAGGCTTAAGTCCACTGGAGGATACTGCAATATACAGGTTGGGGTGAACAGAGTGGACTGGAAATTTTTCCACTCCACTTTGGGAATGTTAGGAAAATGGTAGTGCCTGCGACCAACACCGAATGATGGCCTAGTGGCGTTGGGTGAAATGAGGGAGAACAGAAAGAGAACTTCGTGTTTTCCAAAGTTTTCAGCAGCGACCCCTCGATTCTTTTCGGTCCTTAGAGCGGCAGAAATCCTCGCAATAGCCGGCAAGCTCAAATCTCAAGCTGTCAGGCCAGCAGGACACACATCAGTCCCACTCTCTCTTTGGCACTGAGGCCGGCCCCTCTAGGGGGCCCCTCCCTCTCACCCCTCTGGGTGCCCAACTCTGACCCTCACTGCCAACCTTCGTCCGCAAGCGGCACCGCCCTCCGCCCCTCTCCTCATCCCTCCTCCTCCCCCACCGGGCGCTGACTCGCCCAGCTGCCACGTCTCACTGATGACATCACCAGGGCCGCTCGGTCTTAACCAATCCGCTAGGGGGAGTCCGAGCGAAGTCCTAGCCAGCGAGTCAGCAGGGAGGGGTACGGGGAGGGCCAGGGGCGGGGGTGAGAGTGCGGGGAATGGGGTGGGCGACAGCCCCTCAAATACGCATGCCCCACAGACGCGGGGCTTGGCGGGAAATTGAGTTCTGGCGGCCGCGACGCACCATAGGTCTCTAGCGCCCACATCCACACGCGGGACTCTGTTTCCCGGCATGCTAGGCGGTGCGTCCGCCCTCTGGGCTGTGTAAAGGCCCCTCGGTCGAAGACTTTCCTATTTCCTGGTTCGCCGGCGGCCATTTTGGGTGGAAGCGATAGCTGAGTGGCGGCGGCTGCTGATTGTGTTCTAAGGGGACCAAGTGGGGGAAGACGTTTGCTCTCCCGGAACAGCCTATCTCATTCCTCTCCTTCGATTACCCGTGGCGCGGAGAGTCAGGGCAGCGGCTGCGGCAGCAAGGGCGGCGGTGGCGGCGGCGGCAGCTGCAGTGACATGTCCAGCATGAATCCCGAATAGTGAGTGCAGGAGAGCACCGGTCGACTGAGTCCTTGGGCCGGCTTGGGAATGCTCAAAGGCGGGAGGAGGTCTGGAGCGAGGGGGGGGGTTTCGGCCACGGTGAGGTGAAGGTGAAGGGGCTGGAGAGGCTGGCGGCCGGGAGCCGGACCCCATTGTCTGACGGCGAGGGGCGGCCGGGGGGAGGGGTCGGGCCGTAGGGGTGAGCCTCGGGGTCCGGACAGTGTGTGGTGAAAGGGCCTAAGAGCGGTGCGGCTGCGGAGGAACAATCTACTTATGGGCTTGGGCTATTGGGAGTCGGCGTGGGGCGGTGGAAACGGGTAGTTTCTCTTGGAGGCAGTGGCTTTTGAAGGAGGACTTGTTTTTGAGGGGAGGATGTGTGGTGGGAGAGCTCTGCTAGAGGGCACCGTCGGACCCGGCGCCCGCACTCTGCGGAGCTGTCAGAATCGTCAGGGTGGAAACCAGCTTTACTTGTAAATCCTGAGCTTGTTGGCTCTCTCTTCTTCCACCCTCCCCGCCAGGTTGCAGATAATATGGATGCTTTTCAGGACTGCGTGGGATTGAGGGGAATGAGTAGATGGTGAGATGCATTTTGGAAATGTTAGTTCTCTTTTTGAGTTATTTCCTGGAGTTCTGAAGAACTCCGGACCTCTTGCATCTTAGAAATCTGGGAATGTGAAATTTGTTTTTAGAGGACACTAAAGTCATTTGTCTCGTGTAGGTCAAGAGAACAAAACAGAACTAAATCGTAGGAGCATCGTTCTGATGTTACTAAATTGAAGGGAGACTTTGCTGTCAAGTTAAAAGAAAAACGAATGGACCCTATGAAAGATCTGTAGGTTTTGCATTACCTACTTGAATGCTTGCTGATAGGGAATGAGGTTCCATGACGTGTCATGAAAAGTTAATGCATTTCTTTTTCTTGCTTACTCAAGAAGTCACCATAGCAGATGTGACACACCTGGCACCTTTACCTTTCCTGGGCATTTGTGTTCACATTCCTTGGGAAGATTTCATTTGTCACTTAATGAACCTTAAGGAAAGTCCTCCTACAGTTTGTGAGTAATTGGAGAAGATTTAAGTGGTAGCCCTCTTCAATGTCAGAATGCTTTGAAGACAAGGGGGGATTTGTTAAAAGCAAAAAATCAGTATTTGTTCTAAAAGTTGAGTTTGTTGCTTTGGTCAATTACTGCTAAATGTTTCTCCTGAAAGGTCCACCCATCAGTTTAGCTGACTCTCATGTGTGTGTCACATGGCTCTTGCAAAATGCATTCTGACCTCAAGTTTTGTAATACTGTGGTTTAATGCTGAAATGTCCGCTTTTTTACTAAACAGAAACCCTAATATTTTACTAAAATTTTATGTACTTTAAGAAGTAGAGGATTGTGTTCTAAGAATGTCTTACTTACTATTTTGGCAGTTTTTTGTTTAGCAAGGGCTCCAGAGACAGTTGGTTTTGCATAGGTCAGAGTTGAACATGAGTTCCCTAATTTAGTAGTTTTCTTGGTAACAGTAATATACATAGATTTGCCACTTGAAGGTTTGTAAACCTTCTGTTAAAGGAGTTTCTTCTGTTAGCTTCATATATTTAGTACTGTTAATGGGTCTTGAAGATTAGTTGAGTAGAACCATGACAAATTATTTAGCCTCTGAATTTGTTTCTCCATCTGTAAAATAGTATAAGAGGAGTCATTATTCCTAAGAGGGAATAGTTGTGAAGTTCAAGGCTACGTAGAAGAGTTAGAAAGATGTAAGAGAGCATGTAAGTGGTTTACATCACTATCATTGAAGGCAGATCATTGAAGGTCTTCTGCTAATACTAGGATACAGGCATGCAGTCCTTAACCCTCAAGGAGTTTATAAGGGAAAATAGAAAGTAGATGGTATATATGTCAAGTTCCAGATGTGTGGTATGAATTGGAGCAGACTTCAAAGGTCCTTGGAGTGTTGTGGTTGGCATAGTTGGATTAAGGAAGACTGTAGAAAAAGAATCTTGTAAGGAAATTATTAGCAGTACATTTGGAGAAGCAGAAGAGAGTATTTTTCAAAGGGGAGAAAAGAGGAAGGATGGTTAATACATGTCAAGCACAGTAATTCTTGAGGTAAATACAGTGCCAAACCTTTCTTTTGAGGACTGTAAATTAACAACTTCAACAAAATCAAACCCAGAAATCATTTTCACATATTTTCCTGGCATCGAATATGCAGGCACCTGGCCTACTATAATCATATTCTAGATTGTTTCTAGGAAAATAATGTAGGTGCCGAGGAAAACTTTTGGAAAAGTATTAATGAAAATTGAGGTAAGGGGATAATGGATTAAATAGGGAAGGTCACAAGAGCTACTAGCAAAATAGATTTTTAGTATACTGACTAGCAGTTTTTTTGGTCTTTAATGAAGTTTGTTACCACTGTAAAAGTAATTAGAGAAAAATTGGAAAGTAGAGAAAAAGAAATTTAAAAATTCTTAGTTTTATTACCCTAATAGAAATGTATTTTTGTTAACACTTTAAACCCTGCTTTTCTTAAATTAAGCTTTTGAACCCTGTGTGCCTTTCCAGATACCATCATGTTTTAACAGCTAACATTTATGGCCACTTAATTTGCAGGGACTGTATGTATTATCGCATACACATTATATGCTAATATGAAACAGCAGTTTACTAGCTAATGTTGACATGTGCACCCCATGATCCTGTTTATTAATTTACTTGTTTATATACATATACATTTGGGAAACTTTTAAAGTCTGCTGTTTAAAAATTACTTTGTTGCTTTTTAAAATTTGATAATGAAAATGGGTTTTTGATAAAAGAAAAAAATTTGGTTTTAGGCTTCTGTTGATTGACATAAGATTACCTGTTAGCTTTATCACTGAATGTTTTTTACTTAATGAGCTTTCAGTTGTAAACTTTTAGTTTTGACTGCTTTCAAAGAAATGATTACCTTTGGTTATCATAATGGTGAACTTAAGGGTAATAATAGCTGACTCATTTAAATTTTAAGTACAAACACCAAAAAAAAAAAAAAAAAAACTGGAAGTGGAATCTGAACCTTGGAAAAAATAGATGAAAAGGATCTGAGTTTTCTTTTTCAGGGATTTGAAGAAAGATTTTGATTTTCTGAACTAGATGGTGAGGCCAGCAGAGATTATTTCAGCACACTGGTTAAATACTTAACATTATTTTCATACCTGAAACATTTTTCATAATCCTTTAATTTCTACGGGATTTTTTTTAGTGATTATGAATTATGGTAATGAATCATTTTAGTGAAAATGATTTTGGCTGTTTCAATTATAAGGAATGCATTAACAATGAATCCTGTGTACCTATCATGAAGATAGTAGTTAAAGACAATAGGAAGAATGGTAGAAGTCTATCTGGATCAACTGTAGTTATTTAATGCAGAAAGAATTTATAGTAATTGCTTTGTTTTCAGTTTAGTTTTTTTTTTTTTTAATGGCTCTGCAGTGATATTTAAAATCCTGACTCAAGATTTAATCAGGCTTCAAAACTTTGCTCCTCTATCTGATAGACTCAAGGAATATTTTAACTTTTTTTGGCCAGCACTGTGCTTTGAAAAGACCTTTTAACTTAAACATTTGAAAGTAAAAGTAAGTGAATCAGTTCAGCTCTGACAGTGTAATTTCTTCAATAACTATAGCATTATTGACTTTCATGAAATTTTGAGGGTTTTTTTGTTAGAAAAGAAGCAGAAATCAACTAAATCTAAGAGGAAATGGTCTTTTTGTTGGTTGTCTAGATTACTTAGAGCTGTTGGTGGGAGTGTTCTGAAAAATTTAGGAAAGTTTAAAGAAGAAAAGGAACCATTGTTTTCACTACCTAGAATATGATTTCTTAATGTCTGGAGAATCACACACGCAGTCCTTTGGATGATTATGTTTCCCTTTGCTATCTAGAATCTCTACAAGATGCACATTAAGAGTTTTACATGAATGGATGATCTTGTTAGTTTTATTTAAAATATATGAAATTTCACATTTATAATTTCCTCATTTCATCCTAATTAAGTGTCTCAAGAAATGGAAGGGGAGCTTCAAGTTCAAATTTTCTCTTGCTAAATCTTTAGTTGGTTTTAAAGAGAATTTTGCCTTCTGAGTAATTTTCTTTCTTAGATGTTTCAGCGTTATTTTTTTAAGTTGTGAATAATTTACCTGTGTGCCAACATCTTGTTATCTTTATTTCCTGTTTTCTCTCCTTCGCAACTTTTGACTACTGTACATATTATATATGATATTACTATTTTGCAGTTGCATTAGTTAAGTTTTGTTTTAGATAGTTAAGAATAGCTCCCTTTTGCTAGGAAACTCTTGTTTCCTACATGAAAATGTTGGGGTTAAATAAAACACTTTTAAAGTTTTGAGAATTAAAAAGAAAATTACCACAAAATTGAAGTTTGAGCGTTTTAAGATGAAGAAATTTGGAAAATGGGTGTGGATGCCCTGCATGAAATATTTCAGATGTGTAGCTTATCAGTTTTTTTTTTAACCAAACTCTTTGTCTGCTGTTTTGGAGTTTTTAATAAGAGATGTAGGCAAAATGTCTGCATCTTTTCTTACAGGGAGATGGAGTGGTCAGATTCTTTTACTCTTGGCTAGTTGAAGATTGGATCTGAGGTTGCTACTATGATGTCTGGAATAGAATTTCAGGAAGAAAACTTAGGTCTTAGCTGTTCTTTGGAACCTCCCTGTGAATGTTTCATGTTATAAGAAGATAATGATGATTCTTTGGGGAAAAAGTCCTGAGACTAGAAGGATCCAGTTAACAAATGTTAGTTAGCTTTTTGGCTGACTTGACAAGCATGTGAAGAAGTAGGGTACAGCAAAAGTAAGAAACAAAGTTTACTTGGTACTAATGTGGCTAGCTCCACTGATCAGAACACACTTGTTCTATGAAATCCATGGTTGTGGTAGGTTCCAATTAGTTCTAGAGAAAACCTAATTCATGCTTATAGGTTTCTAATTCTGACAAAGTTGTAT